CCGATCAATGATTCTCTCTCATCATTGATGTTTCTATGTCTCCCTTCCTCTCTGAAATCAATAAAAATACATTTAAAAAGAGACATTAACAATGTAGAGTTTAAAAAAAAAAGATTGGGCCCAGATACCACCTCCCAGCAAAGCTGCTCTAACCATCTATGAATGCATTTCTCCAACTTTCTGTTTGAAATATTTAACTTACAGAAATTGTGAAAGAATAATAAAATAAACTGTACCACCCTTCACCTAGATTCACCAATTGTCAACGTTTTGCCCTGTCTGCCTGTCTGCTATGTCCTCCTGGTCTTCTGCTCACGCAGCTCCCACCTGTGGGGCTGGCCCCTTCTGGGGTCTGTGCTGCCCAAACTCTGATTTCCCAGCTGGGCCAAGTGCGTGGTGAGGGGCACAAGCAGCATGCCCAGAACCCCCAGACCCTCCATCCCGCCCAGCTGGCTTCCTGGCTGTGACCAGCCAGACCTGGTATGTGGCTCCCCTGACCACTGGCCCTTCGTGGAGGTCTTCCTCTGCCACCGGGCATTCCAAAGGTGACCCAGCACCTCCCTGCCAGCCCCTGAGGACAACACGGGGTGGGGGCACATTCCTCCAGCCTCACGTCAGCCTGTACCCCAGCCAGCAGAGAAAACTGCTTCCCACTGGCCCTGCTTCAGGAAGGGCCAGCAGGCAACCTGGGGCCACCTGGAATCTTCCTGACATCCCAGTCAAGGCTAAGCCCAGCCTGCTTCACTACCTGGGCTGTTTAAATGCAAATTCACTAAAAAATGTCAAATGAACATTCCAGCTTCTCCCCACTTGGCAATGCCTCAGTGAATGGAACAGACAGCACCTCCCACCATCCTGGAGTCTGCCAGCCAGCGCTGCTCCCGGGCCCCTCCTCCAGGAAGCCTTCCTGGGTCTCTGCTGTAGCCTGTCCAGCCTGACACTAGGGACCCTGGCATATGAGCACCACCCAACTGCTGCCCCTTCTCAGTCCCCATTGCTTCTTCTCATGCCACAGCTCTGGAAGGAGCTGTGGCCAGGCCTCAGGAAGTTCCCAGGAGCTGGGGCTGCAGCCAGATGCAAATGTGCGTTCTCCTGCCTCTGAGGCCACAGGACTGGAGTCATCAGGAGGGGTGGGGAGCTAAGAGCTGGGAAATGGCGGGTGTGGGGGTCTGACCCCACTTCCCAGATGCTGCTGAGCCAGGGGTGGTTTCCTGTTATTCTCTCCTCATGGCCTCCTCCCTTCCCAAAGGCAGGATAAGGAAGTTGCCCTGTTCTGGGGGTGTCAGAGCACCCCCTCCCTGCAGCCCTCTGCAGTCTCCCTGAGTAGCAGGGGAGCTGGCTCCAGCCATGGAAACGGATGAGGATGAGACGAGGCCATTCCATCTGATCCTGCCCCAGGGAAGGAAGAGGTGCTGGAGACTGAATCAATGGCCAATGAGCAGTGATTCAATCAATTTGTGCCTGCGTGAGGAAGCCTCCGTCAACTTCATCAAGGGTTTGGAGAGCTTCTGGGTTGGTGGAAGTGTGGAGATGCAGGGAGAGTAGTGGGCACAGAAAACATGGAAGCCCCATACCCTGCCCTGTGCATCTTCCATCTGGATGTTCTGAATTATCTTCTACACTAATAAAAGAGAAACATGGTAATTAGCGTACAACCGCTACCCTTCCCATTGGCTAATCAGCATATCCTTATGCAAATTAACTGTCAGCCAAGATGGCAGCCGGCAGCCAGGCAGCTGGAAGCGAACATGAGGCTTGCTTGCTTCAGTGAAGGAGGACTCCAACGTTCCCCGCCTGACTTGCCGGCCTCTGAGATGGCAGTTTGAAACATTCTAACAAATATAGAAGCTAAACAAAACCCCAGAAACCAGCTTTCAGCCGGCCGGGATCTCAGAGCTGGAGTTATACATTGTTTCGATTATAGAACGCAAACAAACCAGATACCTGCTTTCAGCAGCAGAAGCCTCAGAGCTAGAGCCAGAGCTAAAGCTGGCCCAGAATAAAATAAAAAAAAGAGAAAAAAAGGAGCGGTTGGGAGCTTCAGTCAACAACTGCCAGCCTGAAAGCAGCCCTCAGCCTCTCACCCAGACTGGCCAGGCACCCCAGTGGGGACCCCCACCCTGAAGGGTGTGTGACCAGCTGCAAACAGCCATCATCCCCTCATCCAGGCTGGCCAGGCACCCCAGTGGGGACCCCCACCCTGATCCAGGACACCCTTCAGGGCAAACCAGTCGGCCCCCAGGCCTCTATCCTATATAGTAAAAGGGTAATATGCCTCCCAGCACCGGGATCAGCGTGACAGGGGGCAGCGCCCAAACCCCCTGATCGCCCTGCGGCTCTGTGTGTGACAGGGGGCGGGGCCACAACCTCCCTATCCGCCCTGCTCTGTTCGTGACAGGGGAAGGCGCCCCAACCCCCTGGTCCGCCCTGCTCTGTGCCTGATAGGGGGGAGCTCCCCAATCCCCTGATCGCCCTGTGGCTCTGTGTGTGACAGGGTGCGGCGCCCAACCCCCTGATCGCCCCTGCTCTGCCCTGGTCTGTGTGGGAGGGGTGACCACCCTCCAAATCCCCCCCTGGCCTTGGTCTGTGAGTGAAAGGGGGCGGCGCCCCAACTCCCCAATCAGCCCTGCACTGAGCCTGACCAGGGGCTGCACCTAGGGATTGGGCCTGCCCTCTGCCACCCAGGAGCAGGCCTAAGCCAGCAGGTCGTTATCTCCTGAGGGGTCCCAGACTGCGAGAGGGCACAGGCCGGGATGAGGGACCCCCCTCCCCCCCCAAGTGCACAAATTTTTGTGCACCAGGCCTCTAGACTTATCTAATAAAGAGGGAATATACAAATTGTCACGCCATAATGGTCAAGATGGCTGTGCCCACAGCGGAGGCTGAGTTCCTGTAATGAGCCTTAAAGAGCAATCAGTAGGGACCTGAGGCTGTGTGGCGCTGGGCTGGGGCAGGGGACCTGAGGCTGCGCCCCCTGGCTGGTGGGGCTTCACAAGGGACCTCAGGCTGCGCCCCCTGCCTGGCAGGGCTTGATGGGGAACCTGAGGCCATGTCCCCCACCCCAGCGCTAGGCCGGGGGACCTGAGGCCATGCTCCCCCACCATGTGGGGTTTGCCGGGGGACCTCTAAGGCCCCCCCCCCCCCCCGCCCTGGCTGGGCCACCTCAGACTGCTACCCCTTCCCCGGTGCCAGGCCGGGGGACCTGAGGCTGCACCCCCCTGCCTAGCAGGGCTTGACGGGGGACCTCAGGCTGGGCCCCCCTGCCCTGGCAGGGCTTGATGGGGGTGGGGCCGGCTGGGTCTGGATCTAGCCCAATGCGGGTGGGGCCAGCTGGGTCTGGGTCTCACGTGATTTTGCGGTGCACGTGGGTGGGCGGGGACTTGACTCTGGTTTCTGCGGCCAGCCCCAGACTCTGAAAGGATGAAGATTTTCATATACATTTTACTAATTTTCTTTCATCTCTGACACTTCTATTATAGAGAAAGGGCAAATAGCAATATTAAAATATTTCCTCTAATTAATACCCTTTTAATGTGCACGAATTTCATGCACCAGGTCACTAATATTCTTTATAATATTCTTTATAAAGAGGAACAATAGTAAGTAATGTTCCTCTGAATTCTGTGAGCCACTCCAGCAAATCACTCCAGCAAATTAATGGAACCCAAGAACAGGGTTGTGGGAGCCTCAAATTAGAGGCTCTGGTTCTTCACCTGTGGGACACCCAGCTTGAGGTGTGGACCTCCTGCGCGCGTGCATCTTTGGTGATCAGAAGTGTCATAAGTGAGAGGAGTGTGAGCGTAAACAACACGCAGGATGGATTTTCATAAACAAAGCCAAGGGCTGAGTCATAGGAGATATCTGCACACCCATGTCTATGCAGCACATTCACAACAGCCACAGGGTGGAAGCAACCCAAGTGTCCAGCAACGAGGTAGGTAAACAAAATGTAAGGGGATGTTATTCAGCCTTAAAGGAAGGAAATGCTGACACACTGTGGATAAGCCTGGAGGACATCGTTCACAGTGGCATCAGCAATTCCTCTCATATGAGTCCCCTGAGAAGTCAGGTTCACAGAGAGAGTGGAGGGGAGCAGGGGGATGCCAGCGGGTGAGGAGAGGGGGACTGGAGTTTGATGGGTATGGTGTTTCAATGTGGGAAGATGAAAGTGCTGGATGGCGGGGATGGCGATACTGGGGATGCGCTTAATGCTCCTGAACTGTGCACCTGAAAAGCGCTGAGGCGGCAGTAAGCAAGCAGAAACTGCTCAGAAAATCCATGGCAGGCCAGGGCAGGCGCGCCCTGCCGGGACAGGATCCAACCCCGGCGGGCAGGGCGGGGCGTGGGGCTGACGACCAGTCCGAGGCTCCGCCCCATCCACGTCCCCGCACTTGTTCCGCCGGCCGCCAGGGGCCGCTGTGGAACCCACCGTGGCCGGGTCGCTCCTTCCCGCCGCCGTGCTCGTGCCCAAGATGGCGGCCGCGGCGCTGTTCCGGGGCGCGGCTCCAGGGTGTCGGGGACCTGCCTGGCGCTGGCGGCTGCGCGCGATCTCAAGGCACCGCCTGGCCTCTGGCTCGGGCGGCCACGGCAGCGACCCTGCTGACGGCGCGGCCTGGGCCTGCTTCCCGCTGGGCGAACGCGCCCTGGTGCGCGTGCGCGGGCCGGACTCGGCCCCATTCCTCCTGGGGCTGCTGACCAATGACCTGCCGCTTCCGGCTCCTGCGGACGGTGCGGCCTCGCCCCCCGCGCGTGCGGGCTACGCCCACTTTCTTAACGTCCAGGGACGCACGCTGTATGACGTCATTCTCTATGGGTGAGAGCGGATTGTGGGGAGAAGGGGAGCCAGGGGAGGCGCACCTAGGGGGAAAGTGGGGAGTCAGAGGGAAGAGGACCACCCCAGTGAGTGGTCGGAAGCTGGGAGGAGGGGCATTTATGGGAAGGGCACCGGAAGATGGGCGGTAGCCTGGGGGAGGGCTTCCGGCGGTGGGCGGGAGGGGCACCGAGGGGCGGGCCCGCCCGGCTCCGGTGGTGGTGGTGGTGGTGGTTGCTGGGCGCCCCTGCACCTGCCCTTCGCTCCGCTTCAGTCTTGCCCCTGTCACCCTGTCTTCATGGCCCGGAAAAGGGAGCCGCGACGGCAGGGAGTTGCTTCTGCGTGAGCGGCTTGTGCCACGACTTTCCGAGTTCTGCGGTGTCCTCCGCATTTCCCTCCCGAGTCTCCCTGTATCCAGTGCGAGCTGTGTTTGGTGTTTTACATCCATCTGGCGACATCACCATGACCTACGTGACGGTCGTGGGGCCGCCCGGCACCAGCGCACTTCCAGTGTGTGGGAGCCCCGCCGGGCCGGGCCGCAGCCTGGGACCCGCATGCCGCTCGGTGTGTAGGCGGCCGCCTCTTTCTCATTGGACTCGCAGGAGCTCGTTCTAGAGTAGCTTGTTGAGAGGTGGATGCTTCGGGTGGACTTGGACTCGTTATAGCTCTGCAAGTGGTCATACCTGATGGTTTGCCTGGAATGAAACTCCAGGAGCAAAATTGTCACTGAGAATTGTGAAACCATGGCCCGTCTTCCTGAGCTGGTATTTCTGTTGGGAAACTTCACGCCTTCTTGTTTTGGGGCCCTGAAAGCTTGTAGAGCAAGCATGTCAAACTCGCGGCCCACAAAGAATATTTTTGCGGCCCAGCCAATATAACGGTATGTAGGAAACATTTTAATAAAAATTTCGTAACTTGCCGAAACCGGTTTGGCTCAATGGATAGAGCGTCAGCCTGCGGACTGAAAGGTCCCAGGTTCGATTCCGGTCAAGGGCATGTACCTGGGTTGCGGGCACATCCCCAGTAGGAGATGTGCAGGAGGCAGCTGATCGATGTTTCTCTCTCATCGATGTTTCTAACTCTCTATCTCTCTCCCTTCCTCTCTGTAAAAAATCAATAAAATATATTTAAAAAAAAAATTTCGTAACTTAATTTTTACATTATTCAGTTGTGCATAATTATTAATAACGAACTGCAACGTTTGCTAATGACTGATTACTATAATCTTGTTGCATCCATTTCCCTTAAGCACCTTATGCGCAGGCGCACCATTTCTCTCCACTAATACTAGCAGCGAATATTTTAGTAGCCCATTGCCACAGCGTTAGTCTTGGACTGACTTGTTGATGTGTGCAACAGGAAATATTTCGCTTTCCGAGAACAAGAAAAATAGGTTTATTTGCGTTACGCTTATTAATTTGTGCAGTTATTCAGTGTCGTAATTTAATGTTCAAGAAAAATATTAATTTTTATTAAAATGTTCTATTTATGTTAACAGTGACTCATTTATTTCAGCCCTTTGTATTCAGCAGGTCTCTATCGAAATAAACCTACGTTTCTATGAAAATTGAAGCTTTTGTTTTTTTGCGGCCCACATAAACTTAAACCTTGTTTATTTGTCCCGTGTTAGCCTTTGAGTTTGACATGCTTGTTGTAGAGGCTCTTCATCTGATGATTATTTTGGGTCGTCTTTCCTGTGGTGTTGCCAGAAGCTTGGTGGGTGCTGTGGCAGTGTAATGCGTCAGTAGGTATGTCCTGCAGGCAATCACCGCCTGCTTTCCTATATTAGTGGATGCTGCCATGCCCATTTGTTTGCATACTGTCTGGGGCTACTATGCCCTGGGTCCAATAGATTTGTGATAGACGCCCAAGCCCAAATTGTTTATTATCTGGCCTTCTACAGAAAACATTTGCCACCCCTGTTGTGTTCCATTCAGAGATGCCATCATCTTTGTCTCACATATCTTTTTTTTTTTTTAAAATATATTTTATTGATTTTTTACAGAGAGGAAGGGAGAGAGATAGAGAGTTAGAAACATCGATGAGAGAGAAACATCGATCAAGCTGCCTCCTGCACATCTCCTACTGGGGACGTGCCCGCAACCCAGGTACATGCCCTTGACCGGAATCGAACCTGGGACCTTTCAGTCCGCAGGCCGACGCTCTATCCACCGAGCCAAACCGGTTTCTGCTGTCTCACATATCTTACTACATTCCTCTTATTGCTTTAATTTGCTTATGTTAGAACTTGCAAGTTTTTTTTTTTTATCTTGAAACCTCTATCAGTAATTTTCAGTAACATCTATTTCAGTCATTACTCTTTAATTTATCAGCATTGTAATCGTGTTTTTTTTTTTAAAAAAAACAAAACTTTTTTATTGATTTCAGAGAGGAAGAGAGAGGGAGAGAGAGATAGAAACATCAATGATGAGAGAGAATCTTTTATTGGCTGCCACCTGCATGCCCCCTACTGGGGATCGAACCCAAAACCCAGGCATGTGCCCTTGACTAGAATGGAACCAGGGACCCTTTAATCCGCAGGCCGATGCTCTATTTACTGAGCCAAACTAGCTTGGGCTGTAATGATGTTTTGATTCTCAAATTTCGTTGCTGTGTCTGCCATCTGCCTTTACATCTTTTTGCCCTTGTGTTCTTTTTATGAGTTTATATTCTTGCTAGAGGCCCGGTGCACGAAATTTGTGCACTGGTAGGGTCCCTAGGCCTAGCCAGCGATCAGGGCCGATCGGGGCCTTCCTTCCCCTGGCTGCCAACTTCTGGCTGGGGCCTTCCTTTGTTTCACACCGCCCCCTGGTGGTCAGCACACGTCATAGCGAGCGGTCAAACTGCCAGTCAGTCGAACTCCGTCGGGGACAATTTGCATATTAGCCTTTTATTATATAGGATAAGTTGCTCTATGGTGTAAAGCATTTTCTTGGTTTTTCTTTCTTCATACTTTCCCTGTAGTCTGGAAGGTCATTGCCTAGCTGCTGTGCCGGCAGGTCTTGTCCCAGATACCAAATTTGTGATAGCAGATTTGGCATCTCTTTCTGGATGTTGCTTGTGCCCTGATTTGACCTGGAGAAAAATTAGTTTTTCTCTCCCAGCTAATTCCTGAGAATGGGATATCACTTACTGTTTGGTGTGCTAAGGGAATTGAGGGCCACTGTAATGATACTTCCCGACCCTCGTTTAGAATGGGTCTTCATTCCATCAAAGACACCAGAGAGGTAGTGTGTTGCTTCCCCTCATCAGTGGAGGGAAGGGGGCATGCGGACATGCCCCGTTCCTTGGATGGGTGCTCCTGGAACTGGGGGGTTGGTGGTGATGTCCAGATTCATCTTCAAGTTCTCTTCTGTGATGTGAGGCTTTGGGGCCAGAGTCCACTCTCCTGCCCCGCCTGATACCTCTTTTCTGGCCTAACCCCTCTCGTTAGTTCATGGGCTTAATTCTTATGCTTCTTCCCACCTGGTTGCTGTTGGCCATTTACCTATGTCTGATCTCTTTGGGAAGAGAGCAACATTGGGTTTGACCGCCTCCTTGGAGGCCCATGGGCCTTCCTGCTTTCTCTGTGTTAGCTCCCTACCTGCTGTTTTCTCTGCATGCTCTCTCTCTCTCTGGAATTTTTCATTTTAACTCTCATGCTTCTAATTTCCCATCCTTGAGTCATTTCTCAGAGCACTCTGTTGTGTCTTGGGTGCAGCAACTTCTCTCAGGTGTAGCTTTTTGTTTATAAAGTAGATTTTACTTAGGTCAACCTTAAAAATAAAATAGCCTGTTATTTTACCAGCATAATGAGTTTATTTGGGAATAGCAGAGGTATTGCAACTGGGGACATGCAAACCATGGTGAAAACATACACAAGTCTAGAGAGAGGAGCTACTTTTATTTTTTTATTAAATATATTTTTATTGATTTCAGAGAGGAAGGGAGAGGGAGAGATAGAAACATCATGATGAGAGAGAATTATTGGTTGCTGCCTCCTGCACACCCCACACTGGGGATCAGCCTGCAACCTGGGCATGTGCCCTGACCAGGAATCGAACCCTGACCTCCTGGTTCATAGGTTGACGCTTAACCACTGAGCCATGCCAGCAGAGGAAAGAGGGGAGTTGGCAGGGGTTGTTGTTCATTGGAGGAGAGCAAGAGTTCTGGGTGGAGGTAGCTTCTCATTGGCTGAATGTGGTGATTCTGTTGCTAGGCAGAGAAAAATCTTTCTTCTTCCTGCTGAAGTCTGCAAAAGGCAGTGAGTGGAATCATGAGAACTTATGCTTAAGGGCTTCCTGACCGTGATTTTAATGAGGTGTTTCTTTATTCACTTATACAAGTTTAGAGCAATTTTAACAAAATTGAGGGGAAGGTACAGAGATTTCCCATCCACACACAGTATGGGAAATCTCCACTGTCAGCATCTCCACCGGAGTGGTGCATTTGTTATATCTGATGAACCCACATGGACCAGCGTCCATAGTTTACATTAGTAGGTTCAGTCTTGGTGTTGTGCGTTCTGTGGGTTTGGACAAATGGATAATGACATGTGTCCAGCATTGCAGTATCATAGAGTAGCTGCACTGCCTGAAAATCACCTGTGCTCCAACAATTCATCCCTCCCCTCCACCAACCCCTGGCAACCACTGTTCTTTTTACTGCCTCCTAGTTTTTGCCTTTCCCAGAATGTCAGATAGTTGGATTGTATAGTATGTGGCCGCCTCTGATGGGCTCCTTTCATTTAGTAATACATATTTAAGTTTCCTCCATATCTTTTTTTTAAAATATATTTTTATTGATTTCAGAGAGGAAGAGATAGAAACATCAATGATGAGAGGGAATCATGGGTTGGCTGCCTCCTGCACACCCCCTACTGGGGATCGAGCCCACAACCTGGGCATGTGCCCCTGACCAGAATTGAACTTTGGACCCCTTCAGTCCACAGGCCAACGCTGAGCCAAACCAGCTAGGGCTCCTCCATATTTTGATGGCTTATGATAGCTGATTTCTTTGTAGTGCCGAATAATATTGGTTGTAGCATAGTTTATTTATTTGTTCACTTATTAAAGGACATCTTGGTTGCTCCCAAGTTTTGGCAATCCTATATAATAAAAGTGAACTCTTGGCTGGGAGTTTGTCTGGGAGTTCGACCAGGGGGGCAGGGCCGGCCAGGGGAAGGGAGGGAGGCCTGGCCGGTGGCCGGCAGCCACCAGGGACCCAAAGTTCATGCACTGGGCCTCTAGTTATGAATAAAGCTGCTGTAAACATCTGTGTGCAGGTTTTTGTGTCCACATGTTTTCAACTCTGAGTTAATACCAAGGAGCATATGTTTAGTTTTGTAAGAAACCTTCCAATGTGGATGCACCATTTTGCATTCCCACCAGCTCCTGTTGCCCTGTATCCTCACCCATGTTTGATGATGGCAGTGTTCTGGATGTTGACCATGCTAGTAGGTGTGTATTTGTGTTTCCCTGAGGTCATATGATGTGGAGCATCTTTTCATGGCTCATTTGCCTTCTGTGTACATCTTCTTTGGTGAGGTATCTGTTAAGGTCTTTTGGCCCATTTTTAAATTAGGTTGGTTGTTTTCTTATTGTTGGGTTTTAACTTTTTTTTGTGGGTTTTGGATGACAGTTCTTTGTCAGAGGATACTTTTAAAATATTTTATTTCAGTCTGTGGCCTGTCTCCTATTTCCCCTGAAGAGATTGTATTTGTTGTTGTTCTTAATTCTCAACCAAGGATATTTTTTTCCATTGATTTTTAAAAAAATATATTTTATTGATTTCTTACAGAGAGGAAGGGGGAGGGATAGAGAGTTAGAAACATCGATGAGAGAGAAACATCAATCAGCTGCCTCCTGCACACCTCCCACTGGGGATGTGCCCGCAACCAAGGTACATGCCCTTGACCGGAATCGAACCCGGGACCCTTGAGTCCGCAGGCTGATGCTCTACCCACTGAGCCAAACCGGTTAGGGCTCCATTGATTTTTTTAGAGAGAGTGGAAGGGAGGAAGGGGAAGAAGAAAGAGGAGAGAGAAGCATTGATATGAGAGAGACACATCAATTGGTTGCCACCCACACACTCCCCGACTGGTACTGGGGATGGAACCTGCAACTCAGGTATGTGCTCTCGACCAGAACCAAACCCACAACCCTTCAGTGTGCAGGCCAACACTCTTACCACTGAGCCACACTGGCCAGGGCTTAAATATGTTTTTATTTATTTATTTTTTAGAGAGAGAGGAAGGGAGAGGGAGACAGCGAAACGTCAGTGAAAGAGAGAAACATCAATTAGCTGTCTCCTGCACCCCCCCACTAGGGATTGAGCCCACAACCCAGGCATGTGCCCTAACCAGGAATTGATGGTGAACTCTCCATGCGTGGGATGATGCTCAACTAACTGAGCCACATCAGCTAGGGCAAGGCTGTAGTTTTTGAAGGTCTTTTCTCATTCCGACCACATGTGTGTTTCCTGGGCCTCCCACTTCTTGGTGGAGTTCTTCCTCACCTGCTGGCTGCTGAGGAGATGCTCCTGGCTCTGGTTCCAGCTGTGCTGCTTTGGTGGGACACCCTTATGTCTGTATGCTAGTCTTTGGGGGGTGTTTTGCCTGGGCTGCCACTGGGGTTCAGATGGTCCCCCACTTCCTTGTTTCCAGTCATGATGTCTCTACCTCTACCTAAGATTTTATGTATGTATGTATGTACGTACGTACGTACAGTGGGGCCTTGACTTACGAGTTTAATTCGTTCCATGACAGAGCTCGTAACTCAAATTACTCGTATGTCAAATCAAAAGTGAACAAGTGAGACACGTGATGCTGGGCTGATGTTGTGGTGTTCACTGTGACGTTCGCTGTGCCAACTAGCGGTAGGGTATCTGAAGCTGGCTCGTAACCCGAATTTTAGCTTGCAACTCAAAGCAAAAAATCGGCCGAGAGACAGCTCGTATCTCGAAAAACTCGTTAGTCGGGACACTCGTAAGTCAAGGCCCCACTGTATGTATTTTTAAATATATTTTTTAAATTGATTTCAGAGAGGAAGGGAGAGGGAGAGCGAGATAGAAACATCAATGATGACAGAGAATCATTGACTGGCTGCCTCCTGGATGCACCCTACTGGGGATTGAGCCCACAACCCAGGCACGTGCCCTTAACTGGAATTGAACTCATGGTTAAAAAAAACCTAAGAATGTTAAAAGGCTTTTGGAAAATGATTGTCAACATTCAGTTAAGATACATTCAAACCTGTGAAGAATTTTTGTGAGTTTATTTGAGCCTAACTGTCAACAATTGACAGGAAGCAAAATCTCAGTGGATCAAGGATCGAGATAATGCTCCAGAGAATAGTAGTTTTGCACCTTATTTTATATATTACAATCAAAGGAGGAGACATAAATGGGTTACATGAAATCCACTGGTGATAGATTAGGGAAGCGGGAGAAAGCAAAGTGGAGAAACTTCTAGGATTGGATAAAAAGCAAAATGATAGACACATACTTCTTTTACTTTGATGGGTGCAGGATAGTTAACAATCAACAATTAACTCAATGACAGTGAGGGGATCTGTGGTCTCCACAGAGCAGTACTTGTACTTTGAGGGGTCTGGAAAAAAAGGAAAATTACTTTGACATTCTAATGATACTAGAGGCCTGATGCACGAAATTCATGCAAGGGGCTTGGCCCTCGCAGCCCCGGCTTGGTCATCCGGAAGGACATCTGGAAGGTCGTTCGGCTGTCTGGTCTAATTAGCATATTATGCTTTTATTATTATAGATGTTATCATAGATGCAAAAAGACAATAGACAGGCTCAGTTAAGGTAAAGATTGACCTTTGTCAGGGAAGATATGGCCTAGGACATGATTTCTCACCATAAACTGCTTTTAGTTAAGTTTAGTTTCAGATTATCCTTTGTGGTTACTTTAGGTCCCTGAATTAGCAAGGTCACCATACAGACCTCTCCTGAGCTTGTTAGGTTAGCATGTGGCCCCTTTTCATCCACAACTGTCTGCTGCCTTCCTGCTCACCCACATGGATCTACCCTCCCCAGAAGCAGCTCCTTTTTAAGAAAATTTTTATTTTTATGTAATTATAGATTCACACAGTGGCAAAAATAATGTACAGGGAGGTCCCATGCCTTGTAACCAGTTCCCTAAATGGCAGCATCTTGCCTGCTGTGTCCAGAGGATGGACATGGGCCATCCATGGAGAGCTCAGGTTCCTCAGGTTCTGTGTGCCTGAGCGTGTGTGAGTACAGGTCTCTGGGATTTGACCATGCATGGATACCCATGTGACCTTGAACAAGATGGAGCTACTCTATCACCACTAGGCTCCCTCCTTCTTGCCACCCCCTCAGCCCTATAGCCCCTTCCCCGTTCTCCCTCCATCTCTGTGATTATGGCATTATAGGAATGTTGTACAAATGGTCACTGTCCATAATGTCCTTCATCTCCATCTAGCTGGGGTCAGTGGTCCATCCTGTTTCCTTGCTGAGAAGTATTCCATCGAGGGGATGAACCACAGTCTGTTTAACTTTTCTCCCACCGAAGGGCAGTTTGATGTCACTTTTTGGCTATTATGGATAAAACTGCTACTAACATTCGTGTATAGGTTCTTATGTGAACACAAGTTTCCATTTCTCGGGTAAGTGCCCAGGAGTCCAGTGGCAGCTGATGGTGGTGCTCAGGTGGTGGTTGGTGTTTAGTTGTAGAAGGACCTATAAACCCTTCCTGGAGCTGCTGTACTTACATTCCCACCGGCAACACTGAGTGGTCAGCTTCTTACACCATCGCCAGCATGGGGCGGCACTGTGTTTACTTTAGCCCTTCTGACTGCCTAGTGCTGACCCTGCTGGATTTAGTGGTTTGTTGTTTATTTGTTTGTTTGTTTTGAGAGAGAGATTTGTTTCACTTATTATACATTCATTGGTTGATTCTTATATGTGCCCTGACCAGGGATCGAACCCACAACCTTGGTGTATCCAGAGATGCTCTAATTAACTGACCCACCCAGCCAGGACCTGTCCCTGCTGGTTTTGATTTGTGTTTGTGTCTGAGGAGTGACACTGAACTTCTTTTCCTGTTCTTATTTGTGTCAACTTCTCTGAACTCTTCTAGCTGTTTCTTCCGGCTGCTCAGCTGACCTCATTTTTGACGTTCTGTGAGGATATTTGGAAGGTGAGGGGTCAGCTGACTTGCTGTGGCAGGTCCTCTCCCACCCTCCTCACCCTGTTACTCTGTTCCTAGTGGTCCTGTGGCAACTGGTTATGTGAGACAAGTGTATGGACACTACAAGGTGTGTGCATAGGGTGAGTCCACTGAGATCTGGCAACCAGTTGATAGGCTCCGGGTGAGGGTCGGGCACCAGATGATGGCCTTTGACTCTTTTCCCTGCTCCCGTCTCAGCTGCCACCATTCTTGGACTTTGCTCAATCCACATCTGCAACCTGGACCCCAGCTGCGCCTGGATGGCTCCACCCAGCCCCGCTGTCCCCCAGCCCCACATGTCCAGTGCTGCACTAGCCTCTCCTCGTGCTTATTTATCTGAAGGAGCCGAACCATCCATCTGGTCAGCACATCAGAATCCTGGGGTCGTTTTTGTGGATGTGGGCTGCCTGGAGTGTGCGTTAGATGGCTCTCGGGCTTGCCTTGGGAAAGTGGGAGGTGGTGTGGTTAGGTGTGGCCTTCCCGTTCCAGAGGGCCCCCTACCCAACCCAGCATTAGGACCCTGGCTTATCGGTGGCTTCTGGGGCTAGAGGAGGCAGATCTGTCCTTAGGGTGGGCGTCAGCACCTTTCTGCCTCACCTTGAGTGTCAAGACACAATCTGCTGGCCCTTGGCATGTGCATGTCTGTGCCCGTGGCCTGGGTGGGAGGGATGTGGAGGGGTCCTGTGGTGGCTGTGGGGTCTCCTGTGTGCACTGCACTGCACAGTGGGACCAGAGGATTGGGGGGCTGTGGCTGGGTTCTGCGTGCTGTTTCCACATTGTGACACCCTGTGGACCCACCCCCGCACTGTTATTGGTGGAAGTGGGGTTCTTTTTTTAATTTTTTAAAATTGATTTTAGAGAGAGAGATAGAAACATCAATGAAAGAGAAGCATCAATCGGCTGCCTCCTGCACACCCCCCCCAAAATGGGATGGAGCCCACAACCCAAGCATGTGCCCTGACTGGGAATTGCACTGGTGACCTCTTGGTGCATGGGTCAATGCTCAACCCCTGAGCCACACTAGCCGGACAGGAAGTGGGGTTCTTAGGGTACTGCTGGATGCCCCCAAAGGAAGATGAGATATGGTAGAAAGCTTTATTTCTGTAGAATTACATCCCTAGGTTTCCAAAGTCCCAGTTCCCTTCCTCCACTCATGGAAGTGTAGCTGGGGTTTCAGTACAGCTGGAAGCAAAGCCAGTGTCCAGAGTGCCTTTCCATGCCGGAGCTGGTGCAGTGCAACGTCAGGCTAGTTACAGTCCATTAACCCATTGTGTGTGGGTCCACATGGCCGTGGGCCATGGGGTCAAATACAAGGAAGCAGGAGCAAAAGAGCCCCACATGCCGAATCCCAAGAGAGGGGATTATATGTCCCAAATCCCCACACCCCCTTGCCGTGGCCACACCCATTCTGGCCAATGACTTCTTCTCCCAGGTGTGATTGACAGGGAGAACCTTCCCTGTCACCCCAACTTTACAGGGCATGCGTCTATCTGCCCTTTGTCCAGTCCCTTCCCCCAGTGTTTTGCAGGGAACATGCCTATAATGTCTAGCCTCCCCTTTGTTCCTTTCCTGTTAGAAATTACTAGTTAATTACAAGGGTATCACCACCACAAGCAGTGCCACTGTTCCTCCCCGCAGGCACCCGGAGCACACTGACCAAGCTCCCACCTTCCTCCTGGAGTGTGACAGTTCGGTGCTGGGTGCGCTGCAGAAGCACCTGGTGCTGCACAAGATTCGGCGGAGAGTCACGGTGGAGCCATGCACTGAGTTGCACGTTTGGGCCGTTCTGCCAGCCACTCCTCAGGAGGTGGGTGGGGCTGCACCAGTGCCCAAGCACCAGGGCTCTGCCATCCTCGCCCGTGACCCCCGCACTACCCGCATGGGCTGGCGGCTTCTCACCCAGGACAAGAGCCCTGCCCTGGTGGCCAGGGGCAGGCTCAGGGACGTCTGCGATTATCACCGGCACCGGTACCAGCAAGGTGTGGGGGCACCTGGGGACCAGTGGAGACTAAACTGGTGGAGTGGGAGGGGCTGGAATGCAGGGCCCAATTGAGAGCTGGGAGGCACCGGGAGGAGCCAGTGGAGTGAGCATGGCTGGGGTCAGAGAGGAGGTCTTTTTTCTAGCAAGTAGGATTGAGGACCAGGGGACAGGGAAGTGGTGGCAGGCAGAGGATGGGGTGCTACAGAGGTGGGAGGGGCCATGCCTGGTCTCCCTTGGCTGAGCCCTCACCTTGTTTCTCCCTTTCCACCCCCACAGGTGTTCCTGAGGGGGTCCACGACCTGCCCCCAGGAGTGGCCCTACCCCTGGAGTCCAACCTGGTCTTCATGAACGGTGTCAGCTTCACCAAAGGCTGCTATGTTGGCCAGGAGCTGACAGCCCGCACCCACCACACGGGTGTCATCCGAAAGCGCCTCTTCCCAGTGCAGCTCTTGGGCCCCCTCCCTGAGGGTGGCATCACCCCTGGCACCACGGTGCTCACTGAATCTGGACAGGCTGTCGGCAAGTACAGGGCAGGCCAGGGGGATGTGGGGCTGGCCCTGCTGCACTCAGAGAAAATCAAGGGCCCGCTCCACATCAGAACCACAGAGAGCGACCGGGTGGCCCTGACTGCATCTGTGCCAGACTGGTGGCCCACAGCCACCAAGTAGCCCAGGCGTCCCCGCACTCCCACAGGGTGCCTCTGTCCCCCTCTGCACACTTGCAGGCTGGCCCTGTGAAGACATGCCTCCTTGGAAGGTCCCGAGTGTTCGTGGGATTCCTGCGGCTGCAGGTGTGCCAGGCCTTTCCAGCCACCATGCTTCCAGCTGACACCTGCCTCTGGGTGGCTCTGTGCTGGAGGAGCCAGAAGCAAGCCTTGCGCCTGCCACAGCTGAGCTGAGCCCCATCTGCCAGCACACCCAGACGAGGTTCCAAACCATGTTGCTCTGGAGGCCATTTGTCCATCAGCCAAGGACAGGAGTGAGAAGCTGTGCTTGCGGGGCCTTCCCCCGCCGCCTGCACCACTCAGCCTGCTTCAGGGCAGGCCTGGCACCGAGGCGGTGCAGCCAAAGGATGGCAAGGGGCAGGTGGCTCTGGGAATTGTCTTTCATGCGGGCTTGGGTCAGGAATCATGTGGCGGCTGTGGTGGTCGTGTCGGCGGATGGAGGCACCAGCTGCCCACAGGCACCACAAAAAGTTCTCCCATCACACCTCTGCGCTCAGGGTGCTGGCCATAGGAGCCCTGGTGCCATTTCACAGGGGGCACTCCAGCTCCACAGCATCGGCCCCTTGGTGGCCTGGGCAGCCACTCCTCCTTCCCGAGCCTGTGTGCAGAGAGGGGCTTCTGCTTGGTTTACCACCGCTGTTTTCTGATGTGACCAGGCCCCCTTTAAACCGCTGGTGTCCATCCTCCCACTGCAGTGTGATTGACATTATGGGTGACCCACTGGTGCCTCAGAGTGAATATTAAAGTTTGACTTACAAGCGGCTCATGTGGAATTCTAGTTTCATTTTGTGGAAGGTGCTGGGACTTGGTTTTGTGCAGACTAGATATGTCGAGAAGGTCTCCCTCGAACAGCCAAGCACACCAGATAAAATAGTTTAGCAAAGTTCCAGGCCCAGTTGGACTGACAAGAAGATCAGAGGCCAGGGCTTTGGGGGCTCTGAGCTGTGGTCTGAGGAGGAGGGCCAAGTGGGGAAGGAGGCATCTTGGTGCCTGGCAGGGTGTCAAAACCCTGCTGAGAACCTGCAGCCAAATGTACGTTTGGAGTTGCCCAGGAAGAGATGGGGAGCATGTGAGGGGAAGGGGGCCCACAGTGGGACTGGGGCATTGAAGGTGAGGCAGATGGTGAGGGAGATGGGGGAGGGCCCAGCCAGCCCCCAAGGGCAAGGCTCATCCTGACACACTTCTCCTGGGTGGAGGAAATTAAGTCGTGTCAGCTTCTGGACAGGAAGGCATATAAATGAAGGACTCAGGAGCTCTTGTGCTAATGGCCAGGGCAGTCACCTCTCGCAGCTCTGCCTCTGGCACCTTCTTTGCATCTGTTTTCTTTTACTGAAAATTTAGCCCGCTGGCTAGTCTTTACACTGATGCTGAGACCTTGGCTCAGGAGTCCAGTTCCCTCTGTGTCTGTGTGACCTGAGCCTAGAGGCCAGCCTTGCAGGCCAGGCTGTCCCTCTTGGGTAGACGTGCATCCACAGCCGTCTAAAGACATGCGTGCTTCTCATGGGGCTGCGGTGTTTGTAGCGCATCAGAGCCCTGGGCAAGAGTCTGAGCCGTGAGAAAATGGGAAAGGAGGCTGGCCCTGGGGTCTCTTCAGCACGGGACATTCTTATAACCTCTTCAGGGTTCTCCAGGTAACAGGGACCTTAAAATATTTGGTTCAGATTCCACATTATAACTTAGTGCTTTTAGAAGGAGACTGCCACACATGGTCAAACCACACCAGCTTTCACAGAAACTTGGAGAAGGCTTGGCCCCTAGTGATTCTGGAGTGGCCTCCAAGTGCCTCCAACTTCATGAACCCTGCTCCATGAAAATTGGTGCAGGTGCCCAGAAGGCTCTTAGCTAGTTTTTACATCTGCTTTAGTTTATTTTATAAAAAGTGTAGCTCAGCTGATGTCGCTTAGTTGGTTGAATTTTATCTCATGCACCAGAAGGTCGCCGATTGGATTCCAGGTCAGGGCACATGCCCAGGTTGTGGGCTCGATCCCTAGTAGGAGGCAGCTGATCAATGTTTCTCATTGATATTTCTATCTCTCCCTCTCCCTCCCTCCCTCTGAAATCACTTTTAAAAAACAAAATTTAAAAGTGTACAAGTTCTGAAAAACAGGTGGTCATAGTAAAAAAAAAAAACCCCAAATAGCCCTGCAAGGTAGTGTTTTTAGGAGCCTGTAAGTGCAGGTGTGAAACTTCCTATGGAAACCCTCCTCCAGCTCAGGCCTTCCACAGAGAAGGTTCTAAGGAATGAATAAACCTTTATTGCTAAAAACCCTGAGGAGCCCAGAAACACTCAACCCCCAAAGAAACAAGGTCAGCAGAAAACCCACACATTTTCAGATATTTATGTAACCAGACACACTATGAAAAATGTATATTACTATATTTAAAGAAGTAAAATAAGGAATTTAATATTAGTAAGAGCAAGAGACTGAAAAAGAATCAAGGAGAATTTCTAGAAATAAAATATTTTAAAAGTCCATGGATATAGTTTTTGAAGAATTCGGAAACTGAAAAAATGACCCTCCAATGAAGAGCTGGTCCTAGAATGAGCACAGAAAGACAGAGAGAGATGAGGATGGGGTGAAGAGGGGCGGAGAGGGATATAACTGATTCAAGGTGGTGGGCGTTACACAGGAGAGGAAAAGACATGGGGCAGGGGTGGTGTTCACAGAAATAGTGCCTGAGAACTTTCCAGAATTGATGGAAGTCATTCTTTTTTTTTCAAATTCTCACCTGAGGATATGTTGAAAGAGAGAAGAGAGAGAAACATAGATGTGTGAGAAAAATTGACCGGTTGCCTCCTGCTCGTACCCCGACCAGGGATCAAACCCACAACTTAGGTATGACCTGACTGGGAATTGAACCTGCAACCTTTTGTTGTACAGGTGTTGCTTCAACCAACTGAGCCACCGGCCAGGGTGATGGAAGTCATTCTTAGACTCGGGAAGCCCAGTAGGTGCCCAGCAGTATACAGTCAAGCTTTGGTTCTCTAATGTCTCCCATTTTGAACAGTTCAGTTCTCAACCAAGTTGTTCGTGGAAAAAATGTCTTGGTTGTCGAACAAAACTTCAGTTCTCAGCCCCACAATCCTTTCATGCTGATACTTCTGTGACCAGTCACATGTCTTTCAGGTGACAAAGGAGAGAATGTGCGGGTATGAGTCAGTTTACCACTAAACCTTGCGTTGCTAACATCTCAGGAAATTGTGCTGTGAATATTTTCATGTTTATTTTTTTTTGCTTTTGTTGCTGCTCATTGTTATTAAATATGTATAGCAAGTCACCATGGGTCCTAAGAAGGTTAGCGATAGCAGCAAAGTGAAAAGGAAAGTTGTGAAGACAAATTGATAGAGCTTAAAAAAAATAATTGCAAAGTGTGATAGAGGTGTTTGCGTGTCTGATCTGACTACCGAGTGTGGCATAGTAAGTGATTAGCACAATTTAAAAACACTCTGAAACACCATTTAAAATGTAAACCAACAAATCGGTTAAAACAAGGAATCATTTGGGGATCTGGAATAGATTAATTCAATTTACATTATTTCTAGTGGGAAATAATGATTCAGTTTTTGAACAAATCACTTCTCAAACAGCCTTGTGGAACAAATTAAATTTGAGAACTGAGGTTCCACTGTAAATCAAAAGTCCTACCTACTCACAGCTTATGAAAGTGCAGAGTTCCAAAGACAGGGAAACACTTAAATGTACTTAGAAAGAAAAATCTTTTTAAAAAACCCTGGTTTATCAACAGAAGGAAAAAGAATATCCCCCAGGTACTGAGAAAAATAACTGTCAGCCCAGCAAAACTGCTATAAAAAAGAATGAACTCTTACTCTTTGGGAAAACATGGATGGACTAGCGGGTATTATGTTCAGTGAAATAAGAAAGACAAATTCCATATGATATCACTTATATGTGGAATCTAAACAAAATAAATGAACAAAACAAACAGACTCATTGATACAGAGAACAGACTGATGGTTGACAGGAGAGGGGTGTTGGGAGCTGGTTGAAAAAGGTGAAGGGATTAAGAAGTGTGAATTGGCTCAATGGATAGGGTGTCAGCCTGCAGACTGAAGGGTCCCAGGTTCCATTCCCGTCAAGGGCATGTACTTCAGTTGTAGGCTCCTCCCAGGCCCGGGCTCTGGTCAGAACTCGTGCAGGAGGCTACCAATCGATGTGTTTTCTCACATGGATATTTTTCTCTTTGTTTCCCTCTTTCTTCCACTCTCTCTAAAAATTAATGGAAAAATATCCTCGGGTGAGGATTAAAAATATACAACCCCCCACCCCACTCAAAACAACCCAAACAAACAAAAGGGGTTCTTCTTGTAGCATAAGAATATAATGTGAACAAAGAAAAAACCCTTTCATACGTTTGAAAAGTTAAGAGACTTGCTTCTAAATACCTCATGGATAAAAACAAATCAAAGCACCCCATAAATTATAAGCTACTTAGAAATGTAATGACAATGAAAATACAACAAAATTTGGTTGTGGATGTAAATTTATTAGAGGTAACTATAGCTTCAGTCATATTATTAAAAAAGACTGAAAACCAGCTTTGCCTCCAACTTAAGGAATTCACAAAATAACAGAATAGACTCAAAGAAAGAAAAGGAAGGAAAATAATAAAGTAAAAAACAAAACAACAGAGGGGCAACAAAATCAAATGTTTTGAGAGTAACAGGGTGTGGTAAGGGGGCCCAGGGGCTGCAAGGGAGGCGGGCTGGGGCTCTGTGCTCTCCCACTGCCTGGCCTGCCTGGGGCCCGGTCAGCCTGCCAGATCGCTGTGTTCTCTCCATACTCCCCTTCCCAGCTGTGGATTTTTCAGAAGTGCTCATTTAAAAATGTTACCCCATTTTCTTCCAGGTTTGTCCATTGTTTCTCTGTGTAGCTGAGATAACACCGTGTGTAATAAACAGCTCACTGTTTCATGTCCTGTATTTCCCCCCACATATCATGAGCGTGTTTCCCTCCGTCCTCACCATGAATGCTTTTGGTGATGTCCAGTTTCTGGATGTTGCTCCGTTTGCTCAGCGAGGCTGCCGATGGGCATTCGGTGGGGTTCCTTTGTTTTTCCCCCTCTTTTTAGCTCAATCATGCTTTCATCTGTCTTTCAGATAGGTCTCGTGGGATGATTTCCTCTGGACTTTGCTCATATTTCAGGTGGTGGTGAGCTGAAGGTGTGGGCGGGGTGCTTGCCCCCTGGCTGATCACACTTGGCCAGCTGTGGTGTGTTCTTGACGTGGCACTGGTGCAAAGAGCATTTATAGATAGGTTTGAGGATAGTTATGCAGTGGGAAGGGTGAGACTGGGCAGGATGGAGACCCCATTTTCAGAGACTGGTACGGAGAGCTGAGTGGAGTCGGGCGGGTGGGCACAGGCACGGGAGTGGAATATCCTGCTGGGGGAGCCCCTCCCTGTCTATGGTGCGTGTTTAGACCAGCGTTCTCCATGATTTTATTATGAAAACATGTCACAGAGTTTTGCAGTAAATACCCTGTGGATGATGCCCGATTCATGATGAGCCACTGCTGCTGCGTGCGGCCCCCATCCTCTAGCCCCCTGGGCCCTTCTTATTTTTGATGCATTTCCAACCAAGCTAGTGGAGACATCAGCTCCCTCACACACCTTCATCAGCATCATTTGATTCTTTTTATCCCCTTGGAAGTAAAATTTTCATACAGTGAAATGCAGAAATCCTGCTATTTGATTCTGATAAGTGCATACTACTGTGTAATCCAGATCCCAGGAAGGTCTAAAAC